GAAACTTTGAAATTACATTATTATAACAGGAGTTTGTGAAACAAAATTGTGATTTTTCAATTTTGTTGAAACAATTCTGCGAGACCGGCGGGCCTTCTTATGGAGTGTGGTTGGAGATTGGAATCATTTACCCTTAGCATTAAACTGAGGTCTTGTCATGATAACTGAAAGCCAGGAAAATGATTCCAATCCTAACCACAGCCCTTTTCACAACATGATTAGTTTACACAGCTTAACACAGCACTGAAATTGATTAAGGCAATTAACGTGGTAACAGTGAGGCATGATGAAAATTAGATGAAATTCATAGGGGTTTCAGCCGCGGATCCGGGGGGGGGGGGGGGGGGTGTCCCCCGTACTCTGACACCAAAAAAGTATATGTCCGCCTGTCCGCAACAATGGGACATAAAAAAGTCCGACGGACCTGACACCCCCCCCCCCTTCGCAAAAAAGAATCCTGGATCCGCCCCTGGGGTTAGGCCCAGGATAAGGAGTATCTGCACAATTACAATTTTTCTAAATTTACTTCGTGGGTTTGTAGTACATGTAATTTCAAAAAGTAAGACTGCCACTTTTTAGGGACATACTGTTACTGATCTGATTTGGAAATGTCCTTTCAGTCAAATAAGCAGTGTGCAACGTTTTTTTTTTTTTTTTAATTCTGAATAATTCAAGTATGAAATTGTTTTGCTTTTTGCAGCTTTGTGACCTACTCTCAATTCGCGACCATGGGATACAACAAGACCAGAACATCAAGCTTCGCGTTGGCGGCTTGTTGGGCGGTGGACTATTAGGTAACTATATCTCGATTGGGCATGAGGCTGTGTTACAACTGATAATGTAGTAACCAACGGATAACGTATCACCAACCGATAATATATCACAAATTGACCGATATTGTATCACTAACCGGTAATGTAGCAAAAACTGACTAATAGTGTAGTAAAATGTGTATCCGATAATGTATCACGTGTCGACGGATAATGTAACTACAAAATAACTGTATCCGATAATGTATCACCACAGAACGGATACTGTATCAACCAATAATGTATCAAAAATCAACCGATAAGTATCAATATATTTGGAAAAGGTGGAAATATTGCAAATTAATTAAAGTCTAATAAGTGTCTTTGCTATGATAAGTCCCCACTCGGGAAAGTTTATCATTTAGAATATTTTTTGTGTAAATTTGGGAGGGAGTTGCTCTGGTTTGGAGACGCTCTACTTCCAAGTGGGCCTAAGCTAGTGGCGTATCCAGCTTTTGATGTCGGGGGGGGGGGGGGGGGGTAACTGCATTCGCACATCTGCGCCGAAATGTGGACAAGTTCTTTTCTCCGGACACTTGGCCTCCGTATGGGCTCCGTGCTCCAACCCAAGAGGGCACGTTTTACCACTTTTGAGAGCACCATGCATGGACGCACGGGACCATTGATCTCCGTATGGAGGGGACACAGCATGTGCGAACTGTACTGTCTGGTTCGCGCGCAAAGTTCAACGCCACTTCCAGAATGTGCCAATAGCCGCAGCGTCTTTGCATGATCGTCGGGCAACGTCGGCGCGCGCATACGTTCAATTTAACTTGCGATGGTCTCAAAGACTATTCCCTCCCCCAGTAACTTTGCATCATTCAAAATACGCAGTGGATGGACCGGGACCAGTCTAGGTCCTCCCCCAACTCTCCGTTTCTGGCCGTTGAAGGGGCACTTGTGCACGGAGCCCATAGTTCCATGGTAAAATCAAAAACTGAGGGAGGGGGGGGGGCTGGAGACCACATGACACTTGGGGCGTTGTTCATGATACAGATGTATCAGCGCATTTCAAGCTTTTTTGTGCTTTTTCTCCCTTTCTCATTACTGTTTAATACATTTCGGCGGTTGGAAAGTTTGAAAAACACCTCAAAATCTGCCTTTTTTTCTCTAAATACAAAATAATGGGGGTGGGTTGATCCAATAGCCCAGACCCCCTTCCCCGTCAAAAAGTGGGGCGGGATACATAGGACATGAAACAAACATTTGTGTACACCTTTTCTTCGTACTGATACATTATCGGTTGATTTTTGATACATTACCGGTTGATTTTTGGTACTTTATCGGTTGATACAGTATCCGTTCCGTGGTGATACATTATCGGATGCAGTTATTTTGTAGTTACATTATCCGCCGACACGTGATACATTATCGGTTAGTGATACAGTATCAGTCAATTTCTGATACATTATCGGTTGGTGATACATTATCCGTAGGTAACTAAATTATCAGTTGTAACAGGCTGCTTAAAAAAAGGTACCCGGGTTCCCGTTAAAGGCTTGGACTTGTACCATATTTTCATTTGGGAGCGCTTACAAAATCCTACAATCATGCACACGTTTTGCCTAATACAAATGCCCCTTCTCAGGACGCAGACAATTCGCATGTGACGTCACCATCTAACATTTTGCTACTGCCATTTTTGGCGAGCTGCGAAGCAGATGCGAGCCTATGTAATACCAATTTCCGTCCGTCTGTCCGGGCGTCCGTCCGTCCGTCCGTCCGTCGGAACGTCTGTCCGTGCTTACCAGTGACCACTTGTGGGGTACCTGCCCATTGTTGGAGGTACCCCGCAAGTGAAATCTTTAGAAAATAGGGTACCCCGCAAGTGAAATCTTCAGAAATAGGGACAAAGGGACAACAATGGAGGTACCCCAGAAGTGTCCGCCCGCTGGAACGTCCGTCTGTCCGGCCGTCCGCGTTCAGATAAAAATGTTGAAGTTTTTGGTTCTAGTTAACTTGGGGAAAAAATAAATGCAGTTGTCATGTATCATCTCTATAACTTCAGTTAGGTTCATATCATTGCAGTAAATTTTATGATTTTATTGAGGAACTTTAATTCAAGGAAATGTTAAAGTTTTTAATTGTAACATGTACATGTACACTGGTATAACATGTACGTGTGTGTATACCGGTATAACATGTACATGTACATTATGCATTTTGGGGATGTACATAAGCTTCTGGTTTGATCTTTTAGTTTGTGGGGTTGGAGTAGGGATGGGGTAGGGGAGGGTGGGGTGGGGTGGGTTGGGGGTAAGGTTGGAGTTAGGGTTTGTGTGAGTAGGATGAGTAGGGGAGCTAGGATGGGTGGGGCGGGGTGGGTTGGCGTGGGTGGGGTGGGTTGGGGAGAGGGGTTGAAATACTGGATTTGGGTGGGGTGGGGATTTGTAGGGGTGGGGTGGGAACAGGTAGGGAGAGACAGGTAGGGGGAGACAGTTAGGGAGAGGATGGGCATGGATGTAGGGGTTGGGTTACGAGGGGGTTGGGCAGGGGGCGGGATATAGGATCGGAATAGGGGTTGGGTTGGGGATGTGTAGGGATGGGTAGGGATGGGTTGTTGTAGGGGTTGGATAAGGGGAGGAGGCAGTATATATGAATCAGAGTAGGGGTTGCATGGGGTCAGGTGGGGATGTATGGGTGGGAGAATGGGGTGGGCGGGATATTGGAATTCGAGTAATGGTTAGTATGGGGATTTGTAGGGTGGGTAAGGACAGATAGGGGAAGATTGGGTAGGTGGGTGTAAGGGGTTGGGGTAGGGGAGGGTACGGGTCAGGGGAGGGGGAAGAAGATAGGGATTGGAGTTTGGGTGGGGTTGGGATGTGTAGGTGATAGGGTGGGATGGTTAGGGGAGGATGGAATGGGTGTGGGTAGGGGGTTGGGTGGGGGAGGGGGAGGGGCGGGCTGGGGATGGGGTAAGGTTTTGGGATGGGGTAAGGTTTGGGGGAGGTGGTGATGGTGCTGTGTCTACACATGTACATGTATACCCATTCTTGTTCTGCATTTGTGGCGACTACACAAGAGTTTTTCCATGGTAATACCAGTATAGGGAGCAGAAGACACTGTTGGGGCTGCAAAAATCCACAACTGGGTCCTAATTACCCTAAAAATGGAAAACTCCCCCATAATACAGTGACGGCTATTTATTAGGTAATCTGTTGACTTTTTATGTTGACATTTAAAAACTGACCCCTACACCTAGGCACATCAACAAGAATCCTGATCCCCTTCCATCATGCCCATCCCCAACCCTACCTTCAGCCTGCCTTCCTGCCTTGGACAGCGAGCCATGACGGCTTCGCCGTTCTAGTTGTTGTATGGAATTTGTTTTGTTTTTATTTTTATTTTTTTTTTGTTGGGGGGGGGGGGGGGCTAGACAAAATTTGCGTAGCCCCTAGCCCCCCCCCCCCCCCCCCCCCCGTAGAACCACGCCTGGGTTTGCGGTGTAAACTGCAACTTTCGCGAGCATCATCAACGTGAAAAATGTTTTGTTTTCCCGTATTGCCAGGTTTATATTTTGCAAATTCACCACAAGTGACTTTCGACACTTTTGTTGTAGGGTGTGTCAGACGTTACTAAGTAAAAAATAAAGTTGTTTACGAGTACTCGATTCCATAATCTGGAAGCAGTTCCTGACATCAACGGTCGGGTACTCGGGTACCTGGTTCCGATGCACAGGTCAAAAATCAGTTGCATTGTGTTTATCAAAAATTCACCTTTCAAAACGGAGGAGTAAATTTGTCCCCAATTTCGGCAGCATCCCTTGGTAAATTTTAAATTACAATGAGCTAAAAAATAAACCCCTGCCAACGGTGAACTTGGAAATGACGAAGTGTGCTTTATGTTCTTTTAACAAAATTTTGTATAAGAGTTCCCGTCTACACTTACATGTGTATGAGCTGAAAGCGTCACATATGTTTGATCAGTCAGTACGATGGGCTTCGGATCTTAACCTCACCCTAGAGTTTAGCGTTTGGAGCCCCTATGCCTTGCTGAGATGATTGATGCATACTGTTTTTATGATTTTGCATTGCAGAAGACGAAAAGTCGAGAAGCATTTGCTTCTCAGAATTGTCAGACGAGCTTGGACGAGGCTGGAAGAGGCTGGCCAGACAATTGGGATTCAAGGAAGGACAACTGGACCAATTCGGAGAAAACTACAGAGGAGACTTACACGAACAAATCTACAAGATGTTAGATGCCTGGTGGAAGAAGCAGGACAACCCTGCAGATGCTCCTGAGAAGCTGAGAGACGCTCTGCAAGCGGTGGATCGTGCTGACTTAGCATCACAAGTACCAGGTATGAGAGCTAACCGAAAAGGTCAATGCACTCTTTTTTGGTCAAGTTTAGCTTACTATACATCACTTTACTTTATGTGTTACTTTTGACGAAATTTAAAGTAATACCAAATAATCTTTTTTAGAAATCGTGAGGCTACTAACAGGTTATATCTCTCGGTGATTCAATTTCAACTGAATGAAACTTTATTCTCCGGATAATCAAAGCTGTACATTACTTATTTTTTACAAAGTTGCAGCTGCTGACAAACGATACAAAACACCCAATATTTAAATTTGTGAAAACTATTTGACATCTCTTTGGGTACATTTCATGAAAGTGCACTTCTTTTAATATTTAGCCATTATTTTCCCAACAACTGAGGTCGTTGTTCATGTGATGTCAATTTAGAAAGACACTGTTCAGTACAGGTTTTTTTCTGTTTAAGTTGTGAATCTATACGAATATTTTCACTGCTCATTTCAAATAATTTTGGAGAAACAAATTACTCATTGGCTTATCGTCATTTTACAGAATCAACAACGAATCGCCAAACGAAAGCAAAACAAAAGGAAAATGTACAACGTAAATAGCTGTAACATAGATGTTTCTACATGAAATGACATCAAACCTTTGCTCAAGAATAAGAAAATTGAATTTTTGAATTATCATCAAAACAAGAAGGCACCAAAATGACCCTCAAAATAGCCAAATGTAAATTTAAGTAAGGTTAAAAGGCACATAAAGGAGCCTTTTTTTAAAACACATTACATGGGCCATTTGCTGATACACCATCAGCGGAAGATATCAATTTCCACAAACGTTACAAATTATGCTAACCTTCAGCAATATTTCACGTTGTGGATTTGCTTACGGTTGCGTGCATTAAAGCAGTTTTACTCTGAATTTAGCATGCTCTTCACTGGCTTACTGCTTACAATCTCTGTGAAAATGATAAAAAAAAGTCTTTAGCATGTGTTTAGCAGAACCATGAAATTGGGCCCGTATTTTTAAACTTACAGATCAACTTTTTATATATAAATCCTAATAATTTACTTGATTGTTCCCCCGAATGACTTTTTCTGCACAGGCACTGCAGGAGCCACTTTTGATGTTGACCAGTGTGCGAGAGAACTGGCAGCTCATTACCGAGAGACGATGAAAGTGACGACGCATCCTAAAGAGAAGCACATGGCCAGAGAGATGGATGACATGTACGTCAATCTACAGCTATTAGAAGAGACAAACATACCATCTCCTGTCTCCTCATCAGAGACAGAGACGCAGGCAGAAACAGTCAGCCAATCGGAGCATTTGAAAGCATCCAAAAGAGCTATAGGTATCCCTGATCTTCCCAAATCACAACCTGATAAGGAAAAAGGGCTTCATGTTCAGAACATTTCCCTTGACTCGTATAAAGACATGCTTGTGCTCAAATCAAATCGATTATTAATCAGAGCTGAGGCGGGTTACGGGAAAACCACCCTTCTTAAAAGGATTGCATACGATTGGGCGGATATGAAAACCAAGGTGGATCAAACTGAAAAACAACAAAAATCTGAGCCCACATCAGTTCTGGAAAGATACGAATTTGTCTTTGTGATAGATGTCAATCGAATGGGTAAGAAATTCGACATCATCGACGCCATATTCTCTCAGATACTCACAGACAGCAAACTGAAAAAGAGAGACTTAGAACAATACATCCATGATAACCCAGAGCGCGTATTAATTCTTTTAGATGGCGCTGATGAGATTTCTTTACAAAGAGTAAAGGACGCACAGTGCAAGAACGGATTTGACTTGAACGGTGTACTATCGTTCAAATCACTGAAGTCGTGCAAGGTAATAGTTACGAGCCGACAGAAGACGGCAAATGAACTGCTGACTATGCATGCACACTACACAAAAATTAACATGGTTGGCTTTGACGAGAAAGGCAGGCAAAAGTACGTGAGGAAATACTTGTCAAATTTTCAATCAGATAATCAAAACAGCTTCCTTGAAAAGGTGAATGGATCTGAAACGCTTCGTAGTTTAGCGGAGATACCGTTATTTCTGTGGCTGATGTGCCACACATGGGCAGCTGAAGGGAAACTTCCTGATCAAATAACAAACCTTTTTGGGGATAACATTCAGCTGCTTTTCCAGCATAAGGAAAGTAAGGAAACAGTCGAGCAAGTTTCTGACACTGAGACACATGTTTCCAAACTTGGTCGGATAGCTCTTGAAGGTTTGTTAGATCCAAATGGGGAAAAACTTCATTTCGAGGAAAATGAGATAGATTCAAAGGATCTAGATATGTTTGAGAAGGGATGTGATGTTGGCTTGTTGTCAAAACGAAAAATGTGTCAAGGTCTCAAGACGGTTTCTCACTTTTCGTTCATTCACAAGACTTTCCAAGAATATAGCGCAGCGGTTTATCTTGTAGATTTGTCAAGAACTGACCGGCAAGCCTTTGACCAATACTTGTCTCGTATATTTCATGGCAATGTGGAAAGCGTGGAATACGTTCTGCGATTCTGCTGTGGGCTGAACGGAAATGCCGCCGAGGTGATTTTGCAGCGTATTGGAGATCTCTTCAAGCAAAATGAACTGAACAAGTCCCTGCATAGAATCTTGATGTTGCTCCTGTTTGAAGCTCAATCAGAATCCCTTGTGAAATACTTTGTTGAGACTGCGAAGGTTGCGTTTCCCTGTGAACTCCAAGGTGAAGTTCTCGTGGCTGCGCATTATTTCTTTCAAATTGGGTCCAAACATACAACTCTACACAAACTAGGCATACAAGAAATGGGTGCTACATGTCGAGGTTTTGCTGACTTTAGACTGTTAGAAGATATCATGACACACATACAATGTAAGCCAATGCTTAAACTTGTACTTCATGGAATCAGCTGGGGTAGCTTTGTGGATAACTCCACGGGGATATTGAAATATCTGAAGTCTTTAGAAGTACATAACTGTGATTGGAACCTTGTAAAACTTTTAGAAGTGCTATCGAAAACCAACACGCAAACAGTTAAATTGAATGGCATCAATTTGCATGAGACACTGTCAAAACAAAACATTCAACCAGTTCCATCTCTGAAAGAATGCTGTCTTTTCGATTGTGGGCTGACAAACAGTGACATTGAGCCACTTTTCTGTCTTCTTTCATTAGCAGGCAGCATGAAGAGAGTGGTTCTGAGGGAAAACAATTTGCACGGTTTGCAGCCTGTCACGATCGCTAGTGTCCCTTCCCTTGAAGAATTGCTACTGCTTGAAAGCGGTCTGACAAACAGTGATATAGAGCCACTTTTCTCTCTTCTTTCATCAGCAGGCAGCATAAAGAGGGTTATTCTGAGAGGAAACAATTTACACGGTTTGCAGCCTGTCACGATCGCTAGTGTCCCATCCCTTGAAGAATTGCACCTATATGAAAGTGGTCTGACAAACAGTGATATTGAGCCACTTTTCTCTCTAGTTTCCTCAGCAGGCAGCATAAAGAGTGTTGTTCTGAAAGGAAACAATTTCACGGTTTGCAGCCTGTCACGATCGCTAGTGTCCGATCCCTTGAAGAATTGCACCTATATGAAAGTGGTCTGACAAACAGTGATATTGAGCCACTTTTCTCTCTAGTTTCCTCAGCAGGCAGCATAAAGAGTGTTGCTCTGCAAGGAAACAATTTACACGGTTTGCAGCCTGTCACGATCGCTAGTGTCCCATCCCTTGAAGAATTGCACCTATATGAAAGTGGTCTGACAAACAGTGATATTGAGCCACTTTTCTCTCTAGTTTCCTCAGCAGGCAGCATAAAGAGTGTTGTTCTGAAAGGAAACCATTTCAACGGTTTGCAGCCTGTCACGATTGCAAGTGTCCCATCCCTTGAAAAATTGAAACTTTTTGAAAGTGGTCTGACAAACAGTGATATTGAGCCACTTTTCTCTCTAGTTTCCTCAGCGGGCAGCATTAAGAGTGTTGTTCTGCAAGGAAACAATTTCCATGGTTTGCAGCCTATCACGATCTCTAGTGTTCCATCCCTTGAAGAATTGCACCTATATGAAAGTGGTCTGACAAACAGTGATATTGAGCCACTTTTCTCTCTAGTTTCCTCAGCAGGAAGCATAAAGAGAGTTCTTCTGAGGGGAAACAATTTCCACGGTTTGCAGCCTGTCACGATTGCTAGTGTCCTATCCCTTGAAGAATTGCACCTATATGAAAGTGGTCTGACAAATAGTGATATTGAGCCACTTTTCGCTCTAGTTTCCTCAGCAGGCAGCATAAAGGGCGTTGTTCTGAAAGGAAACAATTTCCACGGTTTGCAGCCTGTCACGATTGCAAGTGTTCCATCCCTTGAAAAATTGAAACTTTTTGAAAGTGGTCTGACAAACAGTGATATTGAGCCACTTTTCTCTCTAGTTTCCTCAGCAGGCAGCATTAAGAGTGTTGTTCTGCAAGGAAACAATTTCCATGGTTTGCAGCCTATCACGATCGCTAGTGTCCCATCTCTTGAAGAATTGCACCTATATGAAAGTGGTCTGACAAACAGTGATATTGAGCCACTTTTCTCTCTAGTTTCTTCAGCAGGCAGAATAAAGAGCGTTGTTCTGAAAGGAAACAATTTCCACGGTTTGCAGCCTGTCACGATCGCTAGTGTCCCATCTCTTGAAGAATTGCACCTGTATGAAAGTGGTATGACAAACAGTGATATAAAGCCACTTTTCTCTCTAGTTTCTTCAGCAGGAAGCATAAAGAGTGTTGTTCTGCAAGGAAACAATTTCCACGGTTTGCAGCCTGTCACGATTGCTAGCGTCCCATCCCTTGAAGAATTGCACCTATATGAAAGTGGTCTGACAAACAGTGATATTGAGCCACTTTTCTCTCTAGTTTCTTCAGCAGGCAGAATAAAGAGCGTTGTTCTGAAAGGAAACAATTTCCACGGTTTGCAGCCTGTCACGATCGCTAGTGTCCCATCTCTTGAAGAATTGTACCTGTATGAAAGTGGTATGACAAACAGTGATATTGAGCCACTTTTCTCTCTAGTTTCTTCAGCAGGAAGCATAAAGAGAGTTCTTCTGAGGGGAAACAATTTCCACGGTTTGCAGCCTGTCACGATTGCTAGTGTCCTATCCCTTGAAGAATTGCACCTATATGAAAGTGGTCTGACAAATAGTGATATTGAGCCACTTTTCTCTCTAGTTTCCTCAGCAGGCAGCATAAAGGGCGTTGTTCTGAAAGGAAACAATTTCCACGGTTTGCAGCCTGTCACGATCGCTAGTGTCCCATCCCTTGAAAAATTGCACCTATATGAAAGTGGTCTGACAAACAGTGATATTGGGCCACTTTTCTCTCTAGTTTCTTCAGCAGGAGCATAAAGAGTGTTTTTCTGAAAGGAAACAATTTCCACGGTTTGCAGCCTGTCACGATTGCAAGTGTTCCATCCCTTGAAAAATGAAACTTTTGAAAGTGGTCTGACAAACAGTGATATTGAGCCACTTTTCTCTCTAGTTTCCTCAGCGGGCAGCATTAAGAGTGTTGTTCTGCAAGGAAACAATTTCCATGGTTTGCAGCCTATCACGATCGCTAGTGTCCCATCTCTTGAAGAATTGCACCTATATGAAAGTGGTCTGACAAACAGTGATATTGAGCCACTTTTCTCTCTAGTTTCTTCAGCAGGCAGAATAAAGAGCGTTGTTCTGAAAGGAAACAATTTCCACGGTTTGCAGCCTGTCACGATCGCTAGTGTCCCATCTCTTGAAGAATTGCACCTGTATGAAAGTGGTATGACAAACAGTGATATTGAGCCACTTTTCTCTCTAGTTTCTTCAGCAGGAAGCATAAAGAGTGTTGTTCTGCAAGGAAACAATTTCCACGGTTTGCAGCCTGTCACGATTGCTAGTGTCCCATCCCTTGAAGAATTGCACCTATATGAAAGTGGTCTGACAAACAGTGATATTGAGCCACTTTTCTCTCTAGTTTCTTCAGCAGGCAGAATAAAGAGCGTTGTTCTGAAAGGAAACAATTTCCACGGTTTGCAGCCTGTCACGATCGCTAGTGTCCCATCTCTTGAAGAATTGCACCTGTATGAAAGTGGTCTGACAAATAGTGATATTGAGCCACTTTTCGCTCTAGTTTCCTCAGCAGGCAGCATAAAGGCGTTGTTCTGAAAGGAAACAATTTCCACGGTTTGCAGCCTGTCACGATTGCAAGTGTTCCATCCCTTGAAAAATTGAAACTTTTTGAAAGTGGTCTGACAAACAGTGATATTGAGCCACTTTTCTCTCTAGTTTCCTCAGCGGGCAGCATTAAGAGTGTTGTTCTGCAAGGAAACAATTTCCATGGTTTGCAGCCTATCACGATCGCTAGTGTCCCATCTCTTGAAGAATTGCACCTATATGAAAGTGGTCTGACAAACAGTGATATTGAGCCACTTTTCTCTCTAGTTTCTTCAGCAGGCAGAATAAAGAGCGTTGTTCTGAAAGGAAACAATTTCCACGGTTTGCAGCCTGTCACGATCGCTAGTGTCCCATCTCTTGAAGAATTGCACCTGTATGAAAGTGGTATGACAAACAGTGATATTGAGCCACTTTTCTCTCTAGTTTCTTCAGCAGGAAGCATAAAGAGAGTTCTTCTGAGGGGAAACAATTTCCACGGTTTGCAGCCTGTCACGATTGCTAGTGTCCCATCCCTTGAAGAATTGCACCTATATGAAAGTGGTCTGACAAATAGTGATATTGAGCCACTTTTCGCTCTAGTTTCCTCAGCAGGCAGCATAAAGGGCGTTGTTCTGAAAGGAAACAATTTCCACGGTTTGCAGCCTGTCACGATCGCTAGTGTCCCATCCTTGAAAAATTGAAACTATTTGA